TGTATGTATGTATGTATGTATGTATGCATGCATGTATGTATGTATGTATGTATGTATGTATGCATGTATGCATGTATGCATGTATGCATGCATGCATGTATGTATGCATGTATGCATGCATGTATGTATGTATGCATGCATGTATTGGGTGATTAACCAGTACCGACGTTCGTCTAGACCTACTTCAGAGCGGTCCCGGTTTATTTCCGAAGTGCCTTCTGTAGTCCGCAGCTGTTGAGACGTACGGAGCCAAGGGTGTAGTTTTGGCCCATGCTTCTGGTTTAGTAGTTTTTAACAGAGAAGTGGTTAGTTTGTTAAAACTTCAGGACAGTTTTCCTGGAGCTGTTCAGATTGGTTTATTTTCAAGCTATTTTGTTCATACTCAACCGTCTGACGTTGCTTTTAAGTACACTATATTCTGCTGATGTCCATATATTCGTATACCGTGTTTTAGGGTTTTCTTGAAGTGTCCTCGGTGTACTTTCTCCAGAAGGGCAGTTTATGCTGTATACAGTTCTACAATTCTCTGTTTTGGTATGGTGCCTATTTTATAGTGCAGGTCGTTTGTTTTGCTGGAATAGCTGCACCCCGCCCTCTTCACTCTGTATTTCACCATGAATAGTTTCGTTTTTTCATTCTCATTCCTTGAATATGGTATTAGGTTCTAAAGTCTGTTTTAGAGCTATATCTTTTGGTTTTTTAGTTGCGGCATCTCTGCAAGATACCAATCATCATAGGATGCGGCGTCTATTTTGATTCTGATGCCTTATATCTGTAAAAGTAGGGTTTCTCCAAATCTCGTACTTTTGTTACACAAAATCGGTAATTACCTCATTTCAGCGATCGATCCAATGGTAACCTCCTAATCATAATTGAAAGAAAGCAGCAACCCTGAAACTTCATTCAGATATAACTCAACAGAGTAGACAGAAGAAAAGGAAGTGAAGAGAAGTAATTACCAGTGAAATGTAATTTCTAAGATTGTTTGATTCGATTTAATCCACGATTGATATCGTATTCGCTTAAGAAAGTTGTAAAAATTTTATTCTCGGCTATTAGTTTGGCTGATTTTGCACTTCGATAATTATAGGAAACAGGTTCGGCAGACATGGAAGTGAATGAAGTGCGTCCAGAGTTTACGGATCTTCTTCACCGTGCAGGTCGTCTGTCGGCGCAGGTTGAACCAAGCGACAGCGGTAATCCGCCGAAGCATTCACAGACGATTTTGGAGGTTTGTTCTTTAAACCTGTCTAACACTGATTGCATAAACTTTTACAGGTTCTAGAAGAGGGAGACGTGCTGTTTAAGAAAATTGTCGTACCATCGGTTACGAATGAAACTGTCAACAAGAAAACGTATGTATTTTCACTCATTTGCAACTTAGTTTAAGATTCTGTACATTTTTAGAGATTTACTTTTGGAATCGGAAGGTCTGACATTTCCAAAATACTGGATGCCATATTCAAAATCATCGAAAGTCATGGAATATGGCGGAGTTGGAGAGCAAGAAGATGTAGAAGAGCGAGAACCACTTACTGGGTTCCAGCGATTCCTGAAAAGTCGTCGAGAGTTCTATCTCAGCCAATTTCTTGAGGAAGTTTTTGAGGCTGTAAGTTGTCAGTTTGAATAATAGACGGCAACGTCTTAGTGATTTTGTTTAATGCAGATAACTTTGTTTTGTCTGTGAATCGAGCTGCGGTGACATGCAGTATTTTAATGGGGTTGCTCAGCCTGTAGAGCGCCAGATATATCCGAGAGGTTTCACGTTCAAACCCTAGTTGAGTCACTCGTATTTTTTTCTTCGAGGTTGATTAATGAGTACTATTCTATGGAAAGGAAGCCGGATGCTACACGCAGTGCATACCGCACCTGTACAATGCGTTTAAAATGAGGCACTCCTAACTGATGGCGTGGAAATGGAGATCAGCGTTCCACCATTAACTTAATGATAAAAGGGTACCGGCAATGATTCCACCATTAACGTATAAGGAAGACGGAAATTCTAGCAGCTTAAATCTTTCTTTCCTCTCCTTAGTCATGTAATTCAGATGCCTAACAATTGTATGTGAATGTTAGTATAAATTCATATCAGGTTCTTATCTTGTGGCATTATAAATATCATTACATCATAGTTTATTATGAGCAATGTAAGGAATTGTAGCATCTTACCTAAAATCTTACTTTATAAACTGAAAGGTCCTTCCCAGACACAGTCGGGTTAATTCAGTGACTACTGACTGCTGTTTGAGCTGTTTGTTTTAGATAACTATGACAACAGCAACAACAGAAGATGAATGTCGTCTTCCTAGCGATGCAGTAAATTACTTCTTATAATTCTTGCGAGAATTTAATGCTAAACGGAATTTTCGTCATGCTTGAAATCAACGGTTAAGTGAAAAGAGCTAGCCATATTTTCGATTTCGGTCTTCCCTTGTGGTACAGAGTGTCGTACGTTGGAAGGACCGACCACTTTTGTTTCTACTGTATTACCATGACGACTCAGTCACAATGCAAACACTCGATCTTTCGACTGCGGTTTGCCTCAGAATTGACGATTTTTGTTTGGTCATCATCTTCTAAGACTGAACGTCAGAATCAAAATCGACCGTTTATTACCATAGAATCAAATTCTGCTTCACTATATGCTTTAAAAAGTATATCCGTTTTGAGCCACTAATACGTAAAAGAACCGTTCGACGTTTATTGCGATCAGTTAAAAGGAGTTCATAGTAAGTCACTTGCTGTAAGGTAGGCATCGCAAACATGTAACCCAAGAAAAGTTATTTTCGAAAGCATTTTCTGCCCTGTTTATCTTTGCATAGGCACTCTTTGACCGTTTGAAGACAGAAATACATTTTTCAGTCCAAATATTGTACTATTACTGGTACTGCTAAAATAGTAGTGTTATTGGTATTATTGAGCCAACATCATGAGCAGTTATGGGACAAAATTTTGGTAGGTTGTAAAAGGATTAGGACGAAAGCGATGACTGCACTTCATACTTTCTGTCGAAACTGTATTTTTCTGTCGAAACCCTAGTAATGGAATTGATTTTGCAGGAGTCGAATAAGACACGACAAAACTTCTGGAAAGATATACATTCTGATTGGGAAAGGCAGGAACAGGCGTTGGTGAATTGGCTTCCGAGAATAACATCTCAGATAGAAGAAAGCCGCATGGTATGGTCATATGCTAAGCACATGATTTTTATTACTAATCTTTTCTTTAAGGCTTATTTCAAACCAGCTGATGCAACATCGCCTACCCAGATGTCCGTTTTGCAGCGCATGTTCGCTGACGAGGTTACTGTTAATGCTTTCAGTTTTGTATTGCAGAAGATGTCGATTTACAATCGTGATTTGTTACTCATTTTTCTCAGAATCAGCCATGAGATCAGCCTTTATCGACTCATTGCAGAATAAGAAAGCTAAAGACTGTTCTAACATGCTGCCACAAAATTTTGATTTTGTTTGCTTTCCACGTCACTGGTTGAAAATTTTTGAGACCGTCTCTACGTCGAGCCTTGATTCTTCGAAACGAATCTGATAACTTTTCGTTCAGCGATTTTCTATTTTCCGATATATTTAGCCCGTTGTAATTTTATCTTCTTCGCTCATATAATTACCTCATTGACTCTTACTTGTCCCTTTATCAAATCATTTGTCTCCATATTTCATTTTGTTATTCTCAGTACCCACATTTCTGCGCTGATTTGCATAGTCGTAGTGTCTGAACGTTTTTTGCGTTCAAGTTCTATGCTTCGTATTCATGTGATAGCACTGACAACAGGCATTGGCCTAATAAGTTCTATTTCAAGCACAAGTGTAATTTCAGTAATTTCACAGACGGAGCGTCTTCAGTCTTCCACACCTGGTTTATGATTTTTTATTCTTCCTTTGATTTTTTAGTTTATTCCCTACTGTTTTGGCTCTTAAC